TTTTTGAATTAGTGTTTTCCTGTTCTTTGGATAAATACCCAGAAGTGGAATAGCTGGATCATATGGTAGTTCTATTTTTAATTTTTTGAGGAACCTCCATACTGTTTTCCATAGTGGCTGCACCAAACCAAATAACTTGACCAAAAAATGGGCAGAGGATCTGAACAGACATTTTTTCCAAAGAAGACATACGGATGGCCAATAGGCACATGAAAAGATGTTCAACATCACTAATTATTAGGGAAATGCAAATCAAAACTACAATGAGATATCACTTCATGCTGTTCAGAATGCTATTATTAAAAAGATAAGAAATAACAAATGTTGGAGAGGATGTGGAGAAAAGGGACCCCACATACACTGCTGGTGGGAATGTAAATTGGTGCAGCCACTATGGAAAACCTTGTTTTTATTTTTTTTGAAATGGCATTTCGAGGAGCTAACCTTCCTCTGCCCCTCCCCCACTATACACGGAGGTGATTATTTAGGAACAAATTATCTAGAAAGTAACTGAGAAGTGACTCATCATTCTGGGTCTTTTTTTCAGGTTTGAAAGTCTTTTTGCTAAACTGGAAAAGAAGCAGAAGGAGCTGGGCATCGCGAGCTTTGGGGCCTCTGTCACTACCATGGAGGAGGTCTTCCTTCGGTCAGTAAACGTGTTTCTGTCAGTCTAGGACTTGGCCATGTGGATGATTTTTTTAAAGTGTAATGATAAAGCAGTCCCCTTGATTATCACCTCGAACAGCCATCTAAGGGTGGACACACAGCCTGGCTTGGGAGAGGGCAGTGGGTCGGCTATCAGAGCGCCCAGTTCAAATCAGGACTCCTAGTGCCACTTGCACAAACTCAGCGAGGTGCTTGACACGCACAGCAGTTCAGAAAGCAGACAGCAGCTGTGCTCAGGTCACCGGAAACTTCAGCTCCCTGTTGGGAATGTGTGCGTGCTTCCCCTGGGGTCTCACGCATCATACTGTGCCACAGCAGCAACAGGCTTGCTGAGCTCCTCTCAGGTTTAGCTAATAATCCCGCAGTGTGCCTCTGGCTATAATGAAGATGTGGCTATGCTGTGAAATGTAGCATTCAGACCCTCAGAACTGCAGGGTGAGCTCGAGACAATGATCGCATTTATCAAACATTACTTGAAGGCTTATTTGGCAGATATGGTGCTAAGAACTAGAAACACAAAAATAAATGTGAGATAGATATTTTCCCTTAAGGATCCTGCGGCCTAGAGGAGGCAGCAGAACCAGGGAATGTAGATACGGTGCGGCATGAGTCAGGTGGCTCCCAGGCTGCAGTGCGGCCCCAGCACGGCCCAGGACCTGTCCACCCTCCACAAACTCATCCCAGTCATGCCCATTGTGGGGTTGTCCCTCCTGGGCTCAGCTTGGCAATTAGTACCCCAACCCACGGCTTCCTGCACTGGCTGTGAGGAGTCCTCCTGGTGCTGCCATCATGCCCCAAGCCCTCTTCTACCCCCCTGGAAAGCCCTGGTTACAAATGCTGACTTTGGTCAGTCTCCCCCTGTGACCGGGGGTTCTCATGGGCAGTGGCCCTGTCTGGTTGTCTCTCTCTCCTGGACTTGGCTCAGCTGCAATAGCTGATGTTCCAGAGGTATTTATTGATGAATGAATGAAGGAAGGAAGGAAGGAAGGAACCAGCTGATGAAGCCGATGGCATCCGACTGTAGTGCCTCTGACAGTTGCTCTCTTCCCACCTCTACCACCCTTCTCCGTGGAAGGATAGCTGAGCTCCCTCCCTGAGGAGCTGAGTTAGGACCAGGCCTCGTATGTCTTGGCACAGGGTTGGTAAGCTGGTAGACACCAGCATGGACATCCAGGCCATCCAGCTCCCTGCCCTGCAGTACCAGCACGAGAGGCGGGCGAGCGACTGGGCAGTGGACAGCCACCTGTGCGGGACGATGGACCCGACTGATGGCATTGGCACCCTCATTGAGGAGGAGTGCGCCACCATCAAGCTCAACACCGGGGTGAGCACTTGGGGCCAGCCTGCCAGCATGGGAGGATTGGGAGACCCCTGAACTCCGCATGTTAGGGTCCACAAGGGCTTCGGGAGGGTCAGTGCCCCGGGAAAAGGGCAGATTACAGCTCCTGCTCCCATGGGTTGGCAGGGAGAAGGAAAACCCAGAGCATTTTAATTGACCAATTGTAATTTCTTAATGTTCTAATTTGGCCACTTACGAATAAGAGCAAATGTTTGCTTATGATGCTATCAGTGCTCTGTGTACCAGGAGCTTGCTGTGTGCCTGGCACTTGACGAGGTAGAGAGCAGCACTGGTCCCATTTTACAGACAGGAACCTGAGTCCTGGGCCAAGGTCAAATGGCCAGTGCACGGTGGGGTCTGGTCCCTGTCAGCCTGACCCCAGAGCCCTGCGCTCCCCACACTTAGAGGACAATGAAGGGGTAAGGTTGGAGAATATGGGCAACGGGGAGTGGGGTTGTCCATCTGCTCCTGTGTGAGCATGGCCAGGGTCCTCCTACCAGGAGCAGGGGGAAGGGAGAGGCTCCCCTGTGGGATCGCAGCTTGTGCCCTAACATCCTGCGAAGACAAAACAGTGCCTGCCCTGCCCATGACTGTTGTGAGACCCTGAGCCCATATCACGACCTGCAGGGACAGTTACATGTGTGTCCTCCATGTCATTGACCAAGTCCTGCGAGAGGTCTTGGGGCCCCAGGGCACAAATGTCAGCTGAAGGCCCCCAGGCTCATGTGGGGACCACGCCTACTTCTGGTGGGCGGGGGTCAGGTGCTGGCTTCTGAGTGGCAGCCGTCACACCCTGGTCCCTTCTGCCACAGCTCGCCCTCCACTGCCAGCAGTTCTGGGCCATGTTCCTGAAGAAGGCCACGTACAGCTGGCGGGAGTGGAAGATGGTAGCGGCTCAGGTCCTGGTCCCTCTGACGTGCATCACCCTGGCCCTCCTGGCCATCAACTACTCCTCCGAGATCTTCGATGATCCCATCCTGAAGCTGACCTTGGATGAGTATGGCAGAACCATAGTGCCCTTCTCAGTTCCCAGTACCTCTCGGCTGGATCAGCAGCTGTCAGAGCATTTGAAAGACATGCTGCAGGCCCAGGGCCAGGAGCCTCGCGAGGTGCTCGGTAAGGGGCGTCCCTTAGGGGCTTGGGGCCTGAGTTGTGCTGTCAGAGGCCAGCTTCTAGACCTTGGCACTGTGGATATTTGGGGCGGTTAGTTCTTTGCTGTCCTGTGCACTGTAGGATGTTTAGCAGCATCCCTGGCGTTGCCCCCGCTCCATAATGACAACCAAAAATGCTTCCAGACTTTGCCAGGTGTCCCCTGGGGGAGAAACTTGTTGCACTGAGTCAGAGAAAGACACAAGGCCCCATCTCTGGGGCTAAACTGTGTCCACACAGTCATTTACTGAAATTGTATATTTCAGGACCATTCATAAATGAAATGCGAAACTTTGATGATATTTATGTTACCTTTTCTCTGTTTACTAGGCTGGTCACAATATGCCTTGATGTGACAAGGTGTTTCCTTCCAGCATCCTAAAACCAAAAGTGTCTCGCAACTCTGGCGGTGGCAGTTGGACACTGCCCTGGGTTTAGAGCAGGCATCGTGCTCTGGTTAAAGGGAATGTGCTTGAAGATTTTCTCATTTTCTTGTTCCCCTCCCACTTCCTGGCCAGCAACCTTTAGATTCAGCACACTGAATGGTTGCAAAATCCTGGCAGGAGTTGGGTTCTTCTTTAGGAGATGGTTGAAGGTATTGTCAGCCTAGAACGGGCTGGCACTGTGGTGGGCATTGCGGCTGGGCAGGAGCCCCTGCAGCCAGAGTCCCTGCTCAGCCCTGCCAGCCAGTATGACCCAGATTATCCCTACTGAGACAGTGGCAAACACCTTGTTTGTCACCTCCGTCTGTCCCCCAGCCTGTTTCCTGGCTGTCCCCAAGCCTGGCGCAAAGATTGCGAGGCTCTCACGATGCAGGGTGGCATTGGGGGATTCAGGACGCTGCTGCAGACGCCCCAGCCTGAGTCCGTCTGGACGGCCAAATTGCCTGCTCCCTTGTTGAGTGGGACCTTTTCGGTTCTGACCCCCTCACTGTGTAGTTTTGTTATGCTGTAGTTAAGGGCATCTGACCTTTTTCCTTATGAATGGTAGCTACAACCGGCCTTGATGGAAGCCTTTGTAACTATCAATGTTAAGATTCACTGACGTGTCCCTGTCCCCTCACTGACCCTTGGGTTCTGCAATGTAGGTGTCATCTCTGTCCCTGTGTTACAGCTGAGTGAGGGGCAAGGCCAGAGCAGTGAGGGTGTGTGCAGGATGCGTGTGTGCTGCTGGCTCCGTGCAGCCGCTCGAGCAGCTGTGGACCGGGCAGTGTGCGTACATGATCTAGTGGAACTGAACTTAATGTGCCTAAGGTCACTTGGCGAGCGTAGGGCGGACCCCAGCGCCCCTCATCAGAACCCACATTCTCTCCACACCACAGCGAGGAGCGAAGTGAGAGGCAGCGGGACTGTGCTGGGTGCAGGCAAGATTGGGATTTCCGTTGTTGCCCTTGGGTTGCAGAACATCAGGCGTCTGGGCTGCCCAGACCTGAATGCCCAGAGAATTTAAGACCTCAAGTGAGAGTTTGCTGGAGTTCATCCTTGGGACAAGAGAACAGCTCCCCCTCCTAGGGTCTTGCTCCCTCAGGCCACTCTTTTTACAAACTGTTTTTTCCCAATTATAAAAGGGTACTTATTCATTCTATAAAAATTGGAAAAACAGAAAACTAGGGGGGAAAGTCCTGTGTAATCACACCCCTTGAAGGTAGCCCTTAAGCCTACTCACCTGGTTGTGAGGGCTGGTCCAAGCCCACTTGGAGCCACTCCCCTCCCTGCACCTGACTGGCACTTCGGGGAGGAGGGTTTGCCCAACCAGGCTGCCCCCTGATTTCAACAGCTCTGCCTTCTAGAGCCTCACCTTCTCCTGAGCTGGCCTCCTCCCTGCCACATTGACCTTGGTCTGAGTCCAGCCCCTGTATCTCCGTGGCTCCCTTGAGCGTCAGGAGGTGTTTGTGCGACAGAAGGAAGAGCTTGCTCTGCCTGCTCGGCCTCCCATGGCTGCAGGAGGGTGCCCCCTCACCAAAGCCTCAGGTCCTGCTGCTCCCAGGACGTGTCCATGGCCCAAGGACAGTGTCTGTGTTGTGGAAGGTGGTGTGCCCTTCCCACAGTTCCTCCAGGCCTTTAGAGCTCCCCAGATCGCAGGCCTTGGGTGTGGGCCACGGGGCCGGTCATCTGCGCTGCTGACTCTGCCATTGCCCCCCCAGGTGACCTGGAGGAGTTCCTGATTTTCAGGGCCTCGGTGGAGGGAGGTGGCTTTAACGAGCGGTGCCTGGTGGCTGCATCCTTCAGAGATGTCGGCGAGCGGACCGTGGTCACTGCCCTGTTCAACAACCAGGCCTACCACTCCCCGGCCACCGCGCTGGCCGTTGTGGACAACCTCCTGTTCAAGCTGCTGTGTGGCCCTGGGGCCTCCATCATGGTCTCCAACTACCCCCAGCCCCGGAGCACCCTGCAGGCTGCCAAGGACCAGTTCAATGAGTATGTGCACAGCCCTACCACGCCCCCACCCCTCCCACACCCCGCCAGGACCCTGCTTCTGCCTGTCAGGTCAGGGCCCTGCCCCCACCCATCAGGACCCTGACCCAGGATCCCACCCCCATCAGGTCAGGACCTCTGTCATCAGGACTGACCATCTCTGGCATTGCCACTGCCACCAAGGGCCACATAGGTGGATAAAGCATAGTTTCTACCCTCAGAAAGCTTCTGGTTCTTCACCAGGGAACCCCATATCTTCCCCAGCCTTCCATACTCACCCTTTCCTTGGATAGCAGAGAGGGTAGTGATACCCCATCCCACATACACTGTGGTCCCCGCAGGAGACTCCTGAGGATTTGGAGAGTGGCAGTCCCCAGGGGGTCCCAGCACACGCTCATGCCCAGGACAGCACCCAGCTGTGTGTGTGAGCGAGAACAGCAGAATGCAGCGAGGTTGGGTGTCACTGCCACTTGGTGGCCTTGAATCAGGGAGCCCATTGGGCATCTCTCTCCTCAGGCCTTTTCATGCCATCATGTGCATAGGACTCTCCCTCATCCTGGTCACAGAGCCCCCAAAACTCTGTGGAAGTTTTTGGAACCCAAACAAATCAGTTAATTTCAGAACGATGACTCCACTTGAGGGCAGTTAATTAATAGGGAGTGGTTTCATCTTCACCTCCTGTTCTAGAGTGTGCTCTGGGCCTTACAATGTCTTCTTCCCCTTCTGCTACCTCCCATCCCTACCCCAAAAGCAGAGACACAGGCGCAGTCATCTGCCTCCTTGCTACGCTACAAACAGATGAGTACAAAGATAAATACTTGCGATGGAGCAGACTGCAGGGCCTTGAAATGATGCACAAAGTGCTGAGGAGGGGCCTACCCTCCTACTGAGATGTAAGGGAGGGATGGGCTCCTGAGGCCTTTACACCTGGGCACGGTTACCAGCAGCCACAGGTGGGGGGCTGTGCTGGGAACATCGAGAAGTGGCAGCTGCGTCCTGGTGGGCTCTGGACTAGGAAACCCAAAGGTCAGGCTGAGGAGGCCGGGCTTAGTATGGTGACAGTGGACCAGGCAGCAGGACTTTGTGTTTTGTTTTAACACCTTTAGGAGATAGAATTCACCTACCGGATAATTCACCTGTTTGTAGTAAACAATTGAATAGTTGTTAGGATATTCAGAGTCGTGGAGCCGTCACCACAATATAATTTTTTTTAATATAATTGACATCTAACATTATATTAGTTTCAAGTGTACAACATAATGATTTGATATATACATGTATTGGGAAATGACCACCACAGTGAGTCTAGTTAACATCTGTCAGCATACATAGATACAAAATTTTTTTATCTTGTGATGAGACCCTCTAAGATTTACTGTCTTAGCAATTTCAAATATACAATAGAGTATTATAAACTATAGTCACCATGCTGTACATCACATCCCCAGGACTTATTTATCTTATAACTGGGTACCTATCAACCCCCTTCACCCATTTTGCACTCCCCCCCCCACCTCTGGGAACCACCAATCTGTTTTCCATATCCATGAGTTCAGTTTTGGTTTTTTTTTTTTCAGATTCCACATATAAGTGAAGGCATACAGTATTTGTCTTTGTCTGTCTGATGTATTTCACTTAGCATAATACCCTCAAGGTCTGTTCATTTGTTGTGACAAATGGCAAGCTTTCCTTCTTTTTTGTGGCTGAGTAATATTCCATATATACCACATTTTCTTGATCCATTCATCCATTGATGTTTCCATAGCTTGGCTATTGTAAATAATGCTGCTGTGAACATGGGGGTGCTATACTTTTTGAGTTAGTGTTTTCATTTCCTTTAGATAAATACCCAGAAGTGGAATTGCTTGATCACATGGTAGCTCTATTTTTAGCTTTTTGAGGAACCTCCACACTATGTTTTCCATAGTGGCTTCACCAATTTACAGTCCCACCAACAGTGCCCAAGTGTTCCCTTTTCTCCACATCCTCACCAACACTTAGTATTTCTTGTCTTTTTGATCACAGCCATTCTAACAGGTGTGAGGTGATAACTTGTGGTTTTTATTTGCATTTCCCTGATGATTAGTGATATTGAGCACCTTTTCATGTACCTGTTCGACCACAATATAATTTCATTGAACATTTCATCACCCCCAAAAGAAACCCTGTGACCACCCGCAGTCACTCTCCGTTCCTCTCCTCCATCTCTAAGCAGCCACTAGTATACTTTCTGTCTCTGGATTTACCTGTTTTGGACATTTCACATAAACAGAATCATATCATATGTGGCCTTTTGTGACTGGCTTCTTCCACTTTCAAGGTTCATCCACATTGTAGCATGTGTCAGTAGTTCATTCCCTTTTTTTGTCCAAATAATATCCAGTTGTCCCAGCACCATTTGTTGAAACTGTCAGGAAGTATTTAAGCCACAGAATAATGCTATCAAAGCCAATTTCGGGCAGCTGTTGCTGGCAGCTGAACGTAGAAGGCAGGGTGCACTTGATGAGGGGAATGAGCCACTGCAGTGGCACAGGTGCCCAACAGTGGGGGTCTGACTAGGGCAGTACAGAGAGAACCAGGCGGAGGGTCTCAGGAGATGTGGGAAAGGCAGATGGACAGGTGGTACCATCATCTGTGTGTCTTTAGGGAGTGGGGGAACAGGAGACAAATTGAAGGAGACTGGGTGAGTGGCTCTGCCATCACTGGGGACAGGAAGTGCAGAGGAAGGGCTCTTCTCTGGGGTATGGGATTTTCCCGGTGCTGAGACCCCCACCGCTCTGGCATTCTCTCTTAACCCCCTTTAGCAGTTGGGCCACCACATTGCATGCTTTGGACAGTAATTACGGAGGGCCCGATCTCCCCTCCTGCCCGGACATGCTATGCTCTGTCCCTGACCTGCTCTGTTGCCCCCCCCAACCCCGCAGGGGCCGGAAGGGATTTGACATCGCCCTCAACTTGCTCTTCGCCATGGCTTTCTTGGCCAGCACATTTTCCATCCTGGTGGTCAGTGAGAGGGCCGTCCAGGCCAAGCACGTCCAGTTTGTGAGCGGAGTCCACGTGGCTACTTTCTGGCTCTCCGCTCTGCTGTGGGACCTCATGTCCTTCCTCGTCCCCAGTCTGCTGCTGCTGGTGAGGGCTGCATGGTGCCAAGGCCCTTCCTCGCATGTCCGGGGGGCTTGCCTAGGGTCCTCAGCGCAGACCACAGCCAGCCCGGGGTCCACTCTGGCAGCTCAGCCCCAGTTCCATGAGGACAGTTGGGAATGACCTGGCAACCCCCTGCGCCACCCCGTCTGTCTCCTCTGGTAGATAGAGCCCTGGATGCCCTGGTGACAGCTCTGTCACCAAAGGGGAGGAGGGGAAATTTGTCGGGGAAGATCCCAGGACCGAACACCACCGCAGGAGATGGATGCGGCCTGTGGGCTGATGGGCTGATGGATGGGCCTATGGTGTGCTTCTTGCCTGGCTGACCCCTAATCCTCATTGTATTGCTCTGTGGGCCCAATGAGTTGCCCTGTCTCTGTGCTGTTGCAGGTGGTGTTCAAGGCCTTCGACGTGCACGCCTTCACATGGGATGGCCACGTGGCTGACACCCTGCTGCTGCTGCTGCTCTACGGCTGGGCCATCATCCCCCTCATGTACCTGATGAACTTCTTTTTTTCGGGGGCGGCCACTGCCTACACAAGGCTGACCATATTCAACATCCTGTCGGGCATTGCCACCTTCCTCATGGTCACCATCATGCGCATCCCAGGTGAGAGCCTAGAGACCGCCCTCCTCTTCCCCAACACCCTGAGCACCCATGGAGCCACTTTGCTCTGATGGGGGGAGGTGCCAGCATGGGCACCGGGCCAGGCCACGCTCTGGCCCCTCTGCCCAAGGTGGCCCTGCTCAGCCAGCTGCATGGAGTCTGCGTGTCCCCTCCTGCAGAACCTCCCCTTTGCAGCTTCAACAGAGCAGGTGGGGCTGCCCCCCAGGAAGTGCTGTCCCAGGAAGGCCTGGTGCCTGATCTGTGGGGGATGCCCAGCTGGGTGCCCAGCTCGCATGCACTGTATAGGGAATACTGGGAACCTGCCTTCCCTGATTTGAGCTGTCCTTGGGGGCTGGTGTGGTATGTCTTCCAGCGCTGATTGGTCTGTGCCTCCTCCCCCCAGCGGTAAAGTTAGAAGAACTTGCCAGAACCCTGGACCGCGTGTTCCTGGTGCTGCCCAACCACTGTCTGGGGATGGCAGTCAGCAGCTTCTATGAGAACTATGAGACGAGGAGGTACTGCACCTCCTCCGAGGTTGCAGCCCACTACTGCAAGAAATACAGTGAGTGTCCTGGGCCTTCTCTCGGACAGCTCCTTCTTCTCAGCTCTCCCCCTGGGGACTGGCCAGAGCATCCCCAGGACCCTCGTTACTGCAAAGGGGCTCCTCTAGGGAGGCTCAGGGCCCAAGGTGTAACTGAGCAGGTCCCTGTTCCCAGCACTGAGACAAACCAGGTTTAAGCAGCAGAAGCGTCTTCAGGACATGGTACTCACCCCCTGGAATGGTGTGCGCTCCCCCTTCCTGCCTGGCTGACCCCTAATCCTCTGTGAGGTCGGCCCAGGCCCCACCCACCTGGGCTGGGCACCCCTCACTGTCTTCAAATCTCTCAGACACACAGGGAAGTCCCTACTTCCTTGACCAGCTCCCACCTGATCCCACTCACGCCCACCAACCCTTCCAGCTTGCAGTGGCTCCTGGCATTCCCTGGCTTGTGAGTGGCATCACTCCAGTCTCCATCTCTGTCTTTACGTGGCCTTTTCTTCCATGTGCCTCTGTATTTCATACCTCCCTCTGCCTTTCTCTTGTAAGGACATTTGTCATTGGATTTAGGGCCCACCCTAAATCTAGGATCTTACCTCGAGACCCTTAACTAATTACATCTGCAAAGACCCTATTTCTAAGTAAGGTCATTCATAGGTTTCTGGGGTCAAGAGGTGGTCATATCTTTCTGGGGGCCACCATTCAGCCCACCACATGCCCTTTCTGTGCCAGGTAGTCAACCTGTCACCTCTGTGAGGCCTGTGTGTCCCCCAGGCAAGCTCAGTCTCTGCTCTGTTCCTGCCGTTTCCTTACCTCATAGGACCTACTCAGGGTTGCTTGGCTGCGTGCCTGTCCCCTCTCTAAACCCTGACCACCTGAGGGGGGTACATCTTACCCATCTTTACGTCTCAGTGCAGTCCATGACGCAAGGAAGCCAATGTGTGAGTGAGTGAGTGAGGGCGTGATTCGGTCACTTATCATAGGTGCCCCTCGAAAGGCAAAACCACCCTAAAACGTGGGAAGTGCTTGGGGCTCCCGTGTGGCAGTGACAAACATGGGTCACACTCTTGGAAGACGAATGGACCCTGTGCCTTCACAGCCTCCATCAAGAGGGCTGGGGTGCAGGTGCCAGGTGGGCCTAGAGAGAGGGGCTTGGGCTGGGACTCTGGGGGAGGAGGAGAGGCACTTGGGGGCACGGGGTGCAGTGCCCTCTCCCTGCCTACACAGACATCCAGTACCAGGAGAACTTCTACGCGTGGAGCGCCCCAGGGGTCGGCAGGTTCGTGACCTCCATGGCCGCCTCAGGGTTTGCCTACCTCACCCTCCTATTCCTCATTGAGACCGACCTGCTGTGGAGGCTGAAGACCTGCGTCTGTGCCTTCCGGAGGAGGCGGGCGCTGGTGAGTGGCTCTCCCACCGCAGTCCAGCTTCCTCAGCCCCATACGCAGGGAGGGCCCGTCATCTGGCCATGGCCAGGGTGCATGGCCACCCAGCGCTCGCAGCCTAGGAGGGGGTCGCAGTCCTCACATCGTCAGGGGCTCTTGAGTCCCGAGACCCTGAAACTGTGGAGTTGGGGAGCCTGGAACCTTGGGTTCCTCGGTCTCAGCAGAGGCAGTATGGGCCAGAGCCCTCGTATTTGTCACATATATCCTGTCCCACAAAGACAAAACCTGCTGAGACCACATTGGATATACAGATTAACCCTGGGCAAATGGGCTTCTCTGGGCAAATGGGCTTCTCTAAAATATTAAGACATCTCTAAGAAGGAGTTTCTCTTCTCATATTAAAATCTCCCACACCCCTCAGAGGAGTCTCTGCTCCGCCCTTGTTCCTCAGGCAGTTTTTGTCTCTTTGAAACGATGCAAATTTCAGCCCTGCAGGCTACCTGCTCTTGTAGTAAAAGGTCTGCATCAGCACACATGGGACTGAGCTGGGGGTAACGGTCTGAGAGACCTGTTTCTCGCACGGAAAAGGACCCCTTGGGCTGGAGTTCACTCATGTGGTCTTTTTGCGCAACAATTAGATGGAAGTGTATACCCGGATGTCAGTGCTTCCTGAAGACCAGGACGTGGTGGACGAGAGGAACCGAATCCTGGCCCCTAGCCTGGACTCCCTGCTGGACACACCTCTGATTATCAAGGAGCTCTCCAAAGTAAGGTGCACCCTCCCTCCACCAGGCCTCCTGGGGTCTGCCCCCACCGTCTGGAAGCTGCCTCCTTGCCATCTCCAGGCCTCCCCATTGCTGTGTTTTCTCCTGGGTACCTCACAGGTGTACGAGCAGCGGGCACCCCTCCTCGCCGTGGACAAGATCTCCCTCGCAGTCCAGAAAGGGGAGTGCTTCGGCTTGCTGGGTTTCAACGGAGCTGGGAAAACCACAACTTTCAAAATGCTGACTGGGGAGGAGACCATCACTTCTGGGGATGCCTTTGTCGGGGGCTACAGCATCAGCTCTGACATTGGGAAGGTGGGTGCCAACAGGGAGGCGGCAAGAGAGGGCACCCTGGAGGCAGCGATAGGCTTGTCTCTGGCTACAGTTCATAGACAGCTGGTCGAGGCAGTGACCAGGGGCCAGAGCTAAGCAAGTGATGGAGAGGAGAGAGAGGACAGGAAGATAAGGGCCCCCTCGGCCAGGAGGGCCCAGGCCTGCCTGGTGGCTGAGACTGGGCCCCTCCCAGAGAAGCCACGTCTCTGGGCCAGGGGGTGTGGCACTGACAGCACTGTCCCACTGAAAAGAACCAGCTCTCTCCAGTCTGTGCGTGTAGATTCACAGTAATGGTGCCTTGGGCTGTTCAGACCAGGCATCCTGCTGAGAACCAGAAGCTGGATAAAATGTCAGTGACAAACCACATTGGTAGGAGCATCGAAGAGCCTGCAGCATGGAGAGGAATGCCTGCCGAAATCTGTGAGCCCTGAGAGGCTCCACTGGAGCTGCCTCTGCACAGAGGGTGCACTGTGTTCCAGGCAACTCGGGCATGGGTTTAGGGGCCTTGTTGAGCAAAGGAGGCAGCAACAAAGGCCTAGGGCCCCGCGGTGGCGGTGTAATGGGAGACTTGCCCCACGTGGGGCTGACCCCCACAGGGCTAGCCCACAGGGTAAGGATGAACCAGGCTGCCTTCCCAACCCCCCCAACCCTGGGGATTGCATGGAAGGTTCCCCATGTGCTGAGCAGAGTAGGGAAAAGGAAAGGAGATGAGCCTGTTCCTGTGAGTGACAGCATCTCCTGAAGTCTCCTGAACTGGCAGCTGGGGCTTCTAGTCTGCTGTGCCCCAGACTGCAGCACACACCCTCTCTGGAGAAAGGCCTTCATCCCAGGCCTTGAAGAACCCCCTCAAGTGTTTCAAGGCCTATGAGCTGTGCACAACTAAAAGCAAAGGAGACAGGTCCCCTGACCAGAACCTGCAGACACAGGGGCCCTACAGGAGAAACAAGCCTACTGCTGTAGATTTGCAATCACCAGACCCAAATTATAAAACAACTGTGTTTACAAAAATAAGCAAGATTGAAAATATATGCAGGAAAGAGAAAACTATAAATGTGATCTAGAAATGGAGGAGAGGATAAGAAGTCCTAAGTGCACTTCATCTGAGCTCCAACAGGAAAGGAGGGAGTCGGGGAAGGTAGTGACTGACCAGGCAGTGGTGAAGAATGTTCCCAAACCGATTAATCAGATTCTGGAAGCCTAAGAACCCCAAAGAGGGTAAAGAAAAAGAAACCCTGTCTCTGGAATCCACAGAACCCAGGCTCCTCACCTGTCCCCCGCCAACTGCTGAAGGTAGTTGGAGAGATGGCCATGCAGCATCCTGGCTCTGCTGGACGTGGCCACTTGCTCAGAGCCCAGCTGCCATGCCATCTGACCAGGCGATGCCCCACCCAACGAGAAGAAAGAAAAGACCTAGCACACATTAGATGTTATATGTCTGATGCATGAATGAGGGGCGGTTCATCAGCAGATATTCACATGGTGATGATCACTTTGAATAATCAACAAATTCTTGCACCAGCCTGCCCCCACACTGCCCATAGTGGATTAGGCTCTGGCCATCTCTGACCCCTCAGTATGGGGCAGCATGAGAGCCCATGGCCTCCCTGAGCCAGCCAAGCTCCTCTGGTGTCTGGCCTGTGCACCAGCTGATGGACCACCCTGGACAGGACTTGCTGGGAGAAACCTGGAGGAGCTTCCCTCTGACCTGCTGCCTCCCCGGCTGTGCTCCAACCCCAGGTGCGCCAGCGGATCGGCTACTGCCCCCAGTTTGATGCCCTGCTGGACCACATGACGGGCCGGGAGACGCTGGTCATGTACGCCCGGCTCCGGGGCATCCCTGAGCGCCACATCAGTGCCTGCGTGGAGAACACGCTTCGGGGCCTGCTTCTGGAGCCACACGCCAACAAGCTGGTCAGGACATACAGGTGGCCTGCGCCCAGCCCCTCCCCTGCCTGGTGATACAGTGACCCCCGGATTTACCCAGGGTGGAGTCGGTCTCGCTTACCATAGACCTAGGGGCAGCCACATGGATCGGGGGCCAGAGCTCCTGCACGTTCTTCTAGGATCAAATGGGGATTTGGTAGCATGACCCAGGCAGCACTAGGTGAGAGGGGCTGCCCTGCTGGTTCCTGGCACCTGGAGGCAAGGCCAGCCACTGGTGATGAGGGCCCCTGTCAGGCCCCTGGAGGTGTAGACAGATGGTTTTACTGCTCTACTTGGAGGCGTGGACCAACGCACTGGGCGTGGCTTTCTCTGGGACCTCCAACTCAGTGAGGTTCCCAGGCACGCTCACCTCATTCCTCATCACCTGGGGCGCTCTGCGATCACTGAACCCCATCCTCTGCTGGGGATGCTAATTATTAGCCTTGCCTCTCCCCGCGCCCCTTCTCTCCCTAGTGGTGGCAACAAGCGGAAGCTGAGCACCGGCATTGCCCTGCTTGGAGAGCCTGCAGTCATCTTCCTGGACGAGCCATCCACTGGCATGGACCCCGTGGCCCGGCGCCTGCTCTGGGACACTGTGGCGAGGGCCCGAGAGTCCGGCAAGGCCATTGTCATCACCTCCCATAGGTAGAGCTGGGGTCTCTGTGGGTCAGTGGAAGAGCTGGGATGAGGGCTGTGGGAGGAGCGGGCTGGGAGGGGTTGGGTGGACAGAAGACCTTCAGCAGCTGTGAGGAGAGTCCCCAGGCTCTGCCATGTGGGCCACACTCAGCATGGGAATCAGAAACAGCCTGATCTGGATGTCAGCACCTTCCCATCTGCACGAGGCTTTGAATGGAGGGCAGGCATCAGCATCCCCCAGCCCTGTGTCAGGCCTCCACCCCCTTTCCCCAGCATGGAGGAATGTGAGGCCCTGTGCACCCGGCTGGCCATCATGGCACAGGGTCAGTTCAAGTGCCTGGGCAGCCCGCAGCACCTCAAGAGCAAGTTTGGCAGCGGCTATGCCCTGCAGGCCAAAGTCCGAAGCAACGGGCAGCAGAAGGCGTTGCAGGAGTTCAAGGCATTCGTGGACCTGACCTTCCCAGGTGTGTGACACTGCGCAGAGGGCGTCTCTGCCTCACCCCTGCAAGTCCCACATCCCCGTCCCCTGGGACGAGGGCCAAGATTCTGTAGGCCCAGGCCACCCTCCCCTGGCCCTCTGGCCCAGCCTTCACAGGGACACAGTCTCTCCTTTGTGCAGGCAGCATCCTGGAAGATGAGCACCGAGGGATGGTCCATTATCACCTGCCTGGTGATAACCTCAGCTGGGCCAAGGTGAGCACACGCCCCACCGGGCCTCAGCTGGGGCTGGGGAAGGTCCCTTCAGTGGTCATTCCTGTGGTAATTCCAGGCTCTTTCTGAGGAGGAGCCACTTGCAGTTTCCTGTCTAACACTCACTCTAATATCTGCTGGGTTTTGGGTTTTATCCTCAAAATATTTGAGTTGGGAAAAATTTCGTGGAAAAAAGGAAACAGGCCCAGAAAAGAAACACAAGTTGCCCAAGGTCATACTCTGAGCTGGGAAGAGTCAGGAGGAAGCCTGGCCCCCATGCCTGCTGGCCCTGCCCAGCCTCCCCCTCCCCCGGGAGTGTGCTCACTCCTTGGGGCCGACTCCCTGCGGGTCCTCCGGGGACCAGGCAGGGGTAGGGGTAGGATCTTTAGGGGCTTTACCACCCCTGATGGCCAGAGGACTCCCAGACCAGCCAAGGAGCCAGGCCCTGGGCTTGTTAACAGTGGCTTTTCTGCTTCCCAAAGGTGTTTGGTATTCTGGAAAAGGCCAAGGAGAAGTATGGAGTGGATGACTACTCCGTGAGCCAGATCTCTCTGGAGCAAGTCTTTCTGAGCTTCGCCCACCTGCAGCCACCTGCCGAGGACGAGGGGCCGTGAGGAGCCGGCAGGGCCAGTGGGTGCACAGGTGGGCATCCTCATCCTCCGAGTTCATCTTAATCTGCACCCTTATTCCTAATCACTGTTTTCTATGATGGATATGAGAATCAAGGCACAGTATGAACCAGGTGTATTGGTGCCCTCATGCCGGGAATCAGCATGCCAACCTCCATGTCTAAGGCAGTCACTGCAGCCCACTCTCTGGAACTCGAGATCCCAACCAAGAGTGGGTCGGGCAGTCTGTGTGGCAAGACTCGGCGTCTTTGGGCAGAGAGCCATCTAGGTAAAGGCCGCAGCTGACCCTGGGATTGACTTTCCCTAAGTGCTCGTGAGGAGAGCACCCAGTGACATCTCCGTGTTCGCATGTGGCATGGAGGTTCCCTAGCGGGTGAAACAGGAAGCCAGCAGGACAGTCGGCATCTGGGCTCACCAGGCTGCCCAGGATGGATAGAAAGGTCGCCTGTCACCATCCATGAGGGAGAACTGGCCATGATTTGGCACTGAGGTCTTGGCTTCCTGTGCAGTTGGGGGCGTCCTGGGAGTCCCGGCTCCTGAGTGTGGACAGTACATCAGGCAGAGCTGACCCTGTGCCCAGCGTCATCCCAACAGCATCTTCCGGAGTTGGGTGGAGAGGGGAAGGAAGGCAGTCAACACTGACCTCTTGAGGAGACACTAGCCGGGGGGCCAGTCAGAGACCCCTGTAGGGCTGAGCGGCCATCCATGGAGGATGCACCTAACAGGTGGTGACTTTGTCCAGAAAATAAAGGCTGAGAGGGAATACGACCACGGTCTGTGAGTCATACACAAAATGGGGGTCACGGGCCCCACACTCACCCACGGTCCTAACAAGCCTCCTGTTCAAGTTTCAGATAAACGAAAGTAAGAGCTCGTTTTTCCCATTCTGTAGTCAACTTACAGAACTCGCTGCCATGGGTTGAAGGAATAAACCAAAACTGGAAGGGCCAAAGCAGGTTGGAGAAATGGCCAACTGACAGATCCCTTGTCTACAGCGAGGAAAGAGGGGTGTAGGGCTGGTGTTGGAGGGGTGCAGACCTGGGTGGGCAGGAGGCCTCTGGCTCCAGGGCCACTCAGGGGCTTTAAGCCATTTTCCAGAAGATTCTTCTTCAGCATCAGCTCCCTTTTTATTTATGCACTGTTATTTCTTACGGTTTTCTAAATCTCTGTGATTTGAATCTCTGTGCCTTTTATATTCCCTTAGAATTCAGTTTTATTTATTTATTTTTGTGAGGAAGATTGGCCCTGAGCTAACATCTGCCAATCCTTTTTTTTTTTTTTTTTTGCTGAGGAAGACTGGCCCCGGGCTAACACCCATGCCCATCTTCCTCTATTTTATATGGGACACCGCCACAGCATGGCTTGACAAGCAGTGTGTTGGTGCACGCCTGGGATCCGAACCGGTGAACCCCTGGGCCGCCGCAGCAGAGCACGTGCACTTAACCGCTTGCACCACCGGGCCGGCCCCTAGAATTCAGTTTTAGAAAAGACTTGTTTTCGTCACTTTGGTTCATTTGGGACTGTTTCAAATTTGCGTTTTTATCAGTCTCTTAAAGTTTATGAAAGCTGCAAATAGTTTCCAGCAGCTCTTTTATTCCCTTTAAAGTTCTTCACACTATCATTTAGTTCCACATTATAAAAAATGAACTTAGGGGTGGCTGTGGTCCTAAACATTTCCCAACAGGAAACGTCTTCTGCGAGGTGGGCCTGCAGCCTGTCAGGCGCAGGTTGCTGCGCCTGGGCTGGATTGGCTGGGTCATGGCGGAGGGTAGAGGCCAGCATGGCCTAGCCACGTGTCCACGCCCCTCCTGCAGGACGGCCTGGGCTTGTTTTTTAAGCCCACATGTTAAAGATTGAGGAATTTGTCACTTTTCTCCTTTGATGCCACAAAAAAGGTTGTGAGGAAAGGCATTCAGGACTGAAGGAACAGCATATGTGAGGCACACACGTGTGAAATCAGACTGCATCAGTGCAGGGAGAGGTGGGTTCACTGATGGGTGACGAGGTGGAGAAATGAGCGCAGAGGAGACTGGCAGGACGAAAGTGGGGACTGTCGTGATCAGAGAGCCTTCTTAGGTAGACGACATGGCAGCTGTAGAGAGGAGGATGCAGGCACAGCCGAGGCTGCAGCAGTGGGGCAGAGGGGCAGGCGCACAGCCCAGTCAGGGGGAGAGCCCAGAGGACTTGGGTTGTTTGTGGGAGGGGCACACGGCTGCACCCAAGCATGGAGCTTGGGCAACTGCAGGAATGACAATTAAAAGGGACCCCAGGAGCAGCACAAGGGGCACCACTGTTAGGTCCACATGGCGTCCCTGGGTCATCTGAGAGGCTGCTGGAAACCCGCCGCTGGAACTGAGTGTCCTTGAGGAGCCAGGAGTGGGGCTTCAGACACCCCGTTCCCCTGACCTGGCTAATTTGGTCTGAGCTGTGGCAGCTCTAAGCCTGGAGAAGTGGGGAGCCACGGCCCCCCCCACAGGAGAGTTGGCCTGCTTCATCCCCCCCCCCCAACCTTCCTATTCCACTCTCCCCTAGACCATCAGGCCCAGATGGTCCCTGGAGATACTGGTCCCAGACAGCGGCTGCATCTGGCAGGCACAGCCCTCTCCAGGACTCGACCCCTGCCCTGCCCCCAACAGCAGTTAGGAGACCCTGCATGGCCTGGATGAGGGCTCCCAAGGGGCAGACACCCCCGTCAGGGCTGAGCAAGGCCTGTGGAAAAGTCCTGCCTGGTCCAACTGTGTGTGGCTCAACTGAGACCCAGACAGTGGACACGGGACTGTCCTTCAGCCTGACAGCTACACCCAGAACTTAGAGAGGGCCCCAACAAGGTAGGAGGGCAGCCATGTGGGGAGACCCTGCTGGGGGGGCAGGGCTGAGGCGAAGCCCCTCCACTGCCTGCACGGTGGGGAAGGGTTCAAAGGCAGCAGGTCACCGGTGAAGGGGGCCCCCACCCCCAGGCCACAGGAACAGGTCCTGTGGAATGAAGACTCTGCGATAGGCTTGCTACACACATCAGAAAACCCCAGATCACAGTGGCTTAAAAGAGGAGTTTATTTCTCTGCCAAGTAATAAGGCCAGAGAAGGCAGTCCCGGCATTCTGTCACCGTCAAGGTCTCAGGGAGCCAGACTCCATCTGCCTGCTCCATCCAGGTGCAGGCCTCCCTCCTCAAGGTCACCTCTCAGGGTCCAAGGTGCTGTTGAGGCTTCCAGATGGAATCTGCAGGGAGCAGGAGGGCACAGCTCCCGGGTATCATACACTTCTGCGTCCACGTTGTTGCCCAGAATGCAGGCACGCGGCTGCACCAGGTGCAGGGAGCTGGGACATGCAGTCTTTTATCTAGCTAGGCACCCCAGATAAAACCCAGATACCAGGACACAACCGCAGTCTCCACCACGACTGTAGCAGGCAGTCTGGTGTCTTGGAGGAGGTGGTCCCCCCATGCATGCTTTCATCGTCCACCTGAGCTGGTGAGACCCCCCCGCCTCACCCAGGAAGCCCCAAGGATCCCCAGAGACCAGCAATGGTGGTCATACCCTAGGCCCATACACCCCCGTCCCCCACAGAGTACCCTGACCCATTGGTTGCAGGGACTCAGAAAAGCAAAACAAACTGGACGGTTTCTTACTGGACAAATTCCAATCCCAGATCTTTAGTCCAGGACTCCAGGGGAAGCCAAGGTCACCTGAGTCCCAGAGACCCCTGACCCAGTCTCACAACGCAGCAGACAAGACAGAGGCAGGGAGCCCAGCGAGATGGAGGAGTGAGCCAAGGCCAGCACTTGGAGGGGAGACCGGAAGGTGGGTCCAAGGGCAGCCACAAGCTGTCTGGGGATGACTACGTACCCCAGGCGGAAGAGGAGCTGGCCTAGCCTGCCTGGCCTAACTCAGTTAATTCCTTGAGTGCAGAGAGTTGGTGACATCCCAACACCCCAGGACAATCAGACCCGACACCTGCAGGGCCAGAGCCTGGGGATGAGGGGGAGAGGGTTCCGAAAGGGTAGCCTGGGGCTAGATCGCCAGCCAGGGCAGCTGATTCCTGCTGCTCCATCTGAGTGACACCCTGTGCCAGCTGTTTAGCTCACCTCTGGTGACCAGCACAACACTCATGGCATAAGCTGCCTGGGCCCTCTGGGACCCTCACTCCCACACAAACCGGTCAGTGTGAAGGTGACTGCTGCCAGCTGCACTAAGGGCCAGAGCCTCACCTGCAGATAGAGGGACGTGCCTGGGTAGACAGCCCGGGCCCCTCCTGGGCCCACTCCTGCGTCGAGAAGATGGCCCATAGGGGTTCCGAGAGGTACCCCCAACACCGAAGTCAGGGTTAGCTGCTCACCCCACCCCGCAGCTGAGGCCAGCAAGCCGAGTGTGCAATATCCCACCCTCCAGACATAAGGCCCCATTCCCTGAACCCTGGCTCTGGTCCAACCCCAAACCCCGGAATGTTCAAGATCTTACAGCCCTTCTCCCTTCACCAAGAGAGGGCAGGGCAACCTGGGGGCCCTGCATGAGAGGGGACTCAGGGCAGGTGGGCCTGGTGGCTACAGAGGTCCCAGCCCCCACAGGCCCCCAGGAGAGGCAGTCAGGAAGCAGGACAGTGCTGAGCCCTAGAGCCGCATCTCCACCTGATGGGCTTCAAGCAGGCAGGAGGAGGCACTGAAGCCATAGGGTCAGGCCCGGGGAGCGGGGGCCCTGCCTTCCTTCCTCAACACACGGGGCTACCCAGGCCCCGCTCCTGAGGCCTGGCCTGCACCCCACAGATGCAAGCATCAGATGCCTCCAAGATCAGAGAAGCTCCAAGTCAACTGGCTGTGGATGGCATGAGGGGGTGTCCAGGGGTCCAGCTGGAGACCAGGATAGCTCGGCCGCAGTCAGACCCCAGGCAACACCGCAGCAATGCTCAAGGCTCACCCAGTGCCGCTGGCACACCAGCAGCCTGCTCCGTATCCAGCTCTAGCTGGCCCCCACCCTGAACCCTGTGACAGCCCCAGAGTGGCTGGCTCAGGTGTCACTATCCTTGACTTCCTTGGGGTGGAAATGGACATGGGGCTTTCAGTGTGTAAAAACCAGCACAGGCTCCCAAGCCCACCGCTCAGCAGCACCTGGCCCCACAGCCCCTCCAGAGGGCAGCCTGCACCTCCTGGGAGACTCCAGAGGTGCCTGCTGGGGGGACCTCAGGACCTGATGCTCCCACACCATGGAGACATGAACCCGGAGCCAAGGAGTCCTCAAAACAATTCCAAACCCTCACTGGCTGGCTGGCCCTTTCAGACCCAACCTGGCCACCCATAAGGACTGGCCAGCACCTCCTCCTCGGCTCCTTCTTCCTGGGCTCCTTCAGGGGCTGCAGGCACCCCCCTCCCCGCCCCCAGATAGGAGCCAGGCCTTGGTGACCTGCCTCGTCTTCTAATGTCTCTGCCAAGGTCACCAAGCCATCGCAAACTCCCTGACCCCACCCAAACCCCTCTCTTCCACCTGGCTGGGCCAAACCTACCCTCGGCACAGAGACTGTTAGCAGTGGGTAGAAGTGCTTCCTTGACATGGTTTACAAGGGGACACAATGCCTATTTGAAGCTCCTGGGTGGCCCACTGTGACTTCCAGCACAACCCAGGCTATCCCTTGACCCTCTCAGAGTCCTGGGTCACCAGCCTCCAAGGGCAGGCGCTGCAGAGGCCATCAGGTCCATAGAGGATGAAGGCAGAGGGAACATTCTGCCTTGACGTGGGTACGCTCACAAAGTGAGAGCAACACCACATCGCCAAGAGG